CTCTGCCTTTTGTGTCTCTCACTGGAGGCACCTGAGGGAAGGAGCAGGAGTGCTGTTCCTAAACCATAATAATGCTTAAGTACTTCTGTATATTGAAAAATTAATGTAATCATAAAGATGGTGGGACATTAAAAAAGGAAAAATAGAGAGGCAAAAGTTTACATCCTTGTATGCAGAGGTGCTGGGGTGAAAAGCAGCATTCAGGCTTCAGGTGAAGTGTGAGGCATGACAAATCTGACTCCTCTCGTGTGATTGGGAGAACATGCTGTTGCCATTGCTCTAGGTCCTGTTTCTAATGATGACCAGACCAGATGGCTTGGTTTTGAAAAGAGCTACGGACAATTAAATAGCTGTGCAAGGCTCTGGCAGCACCAGCTTTCAGTAATTCCTCCCCATATTTGTGTGGATGAGATGTGATGGCAGAGGAAAGCAAAACCAGAAACTTAATATGACTCCTGCCACAGGCATCTTGGATAAAGCACTCTTGGCTGCTAGACAAATGCAGGCCTTGATCCTGCAGAAGCCAATTAGTTTTATACACACAAGTAGTCTCACCATGGAATAAAACATGCAGAAGTTTATTGGGAGATGCCCTGGGAAGGGAAGTGGGAGTGAAACAAGCTGGAGGAATGACTAAGAAGCAGAGGGGAGTTAAGCACGGAGTAGCAGAAGTTCAGCCACTTGGCTGACCCACCAGGTGGGTGGGTTACAGCTGGAACATCACATCAGATAAAATAAAATAACAGGAAGAGCCAAGTGATGGCAACCACAGGGAAAACGACCACCAGGAAGACTGAACCCTGGCATGATCTTTTAATACCACTAAGCAGGGTGACAAAGCAGAAGACATATAATGTGATGAATGCAATTACTCACATATGACTCAGGACTGAATGGGTGTTGTTACTTAGTGCTTCTTTTGTGATCTTATTTTGGTTATTTTACAAGTAACTGAAGCCAAAGGGAGCATGTCATGAAGCCCTTGGGAAGATGTTGAGAGTAGAGAGTCTGTAAATGAGTGAACACAAAAAATGTGTGAATCTACACATCTCAGGAAATAATAACTGCACAATCCCCCTAGGTGAGAGAGGAATGGTTGCCAATATGAATCAATGGATATGCACCACAGACCTCATCAGATGGCAGAGATGACACTCCGCTCTGGACTTGTATGGCTTCACCTTAAGTCCTGTGTGCAATTTTGGGCCTCACAATATAAAAAAGATATAAATCTACTACAGAGTGTCCAAAGGAGGGCCTTGAGGGGAAGCCTTGTGAGGAGCAGCTGAGGTCACTTGGCTTCTTCATCCTTGGAAGAGGAGACTGAGGGGACACCTCATTGTGATCTTCAACTTCCTCATGACGGGAAGCAGAGGGGCAGGTACTGATTTCTTCGCTCTCATGACCAGGGACAGGACTCCAGAAAAGGTCATGAAGCTGAGTCAGGGGAGGTTTAGGTTAGATATCAGAAAAAGATTCTTTACCCAGAGAATGGTCAGGCCCAGGCTCTCCAGGGAAGTGACCACAGCACCAGCCTGACAGAGTTCAAGAAGCATTTGGGTAACACTCAGGCACATGAAGTGATTCTTGCAGCTGTTCTGTGCAGGCCCAGGAACTGGAATTTGATAGTCCTAGCAGGTCCCTTCCAACTCAGGATATTCTATGACTCTGTGACTTTAAATCTCACTGTAACAGGCCACAAGACCATGTAAGAGCAAATGAAGAGAAGACAGAAGAATCCTGCCAGCTTACCTATCACTATCTTGGGGGCAGCTGAGTTTTAATACAGTTTCCTGAGCTCTTCAATTTGTGCTGCAGACAGTACCCAGACATATCCCTCTGTCTGCTGCCCTGAGTACCTGCTCTTTCTAACCTTATGCCTGCATAATGGAAATTCCATTAACTTGGATGTAAACTGCAATCTTGCCTAAGAAGAAAAGGCTCATCATCTTAGTGGACCTCCAAGAGGTGGATCTGAGACCAGGCAACAAAACCTGTATCAGCCTGCCCTGTGCCTTGGTGTTCCCTGTCTGGTGGGCAGGATTGGTGGTCCCCAAGTGCACAGTTTAGCCCTTAGCTCAGCACAGCAAGTCCTGGGCCAGGAATGGGTGTGCCACCTTTTGGGGAGCCTGGTGAGATGTGTAGCTCTGCTAAGTGCCCACCCCATGGCCCCTAACAGCAAATTAACTTCTCAGGCACATGCCTATGGTCCTGGGACAAAAAAAAAAAAAAGACTACTTGCATGCAAAGATTTTACAAATTTGGTCATTGTGACCAAACTTTATTACCCATTTTATGGAACCGTGACAAAAGTCTAGGAATCAAGCAACATGGGGATCACAGAGGCTATTATGTTTATTGTGCTGAACAGACTGTGATAAACCATTAAAGGAACATTTTCAACAAGCAAGCGATTTGAAGTACAATCATAGACAGCAACTCTACATGAAGAACAAAGCAAAGAGTTAGAAGACACTCAAAAGGAAAAGTAAACTGTAGTTCAACATCTTAAAGCAATTTTTTTTTCCTGCAAACACACCTCTCTTGCAGAAATGGTAGAAGAGTTACATGTCCAGTCATAGTTAGCAGTGACCAATGACAGCAAAGAACAGTCGTATAAAATTTATCTCCCACAAAAATAAACTATATATATAAAAAAATTTTATGATGTTCTCACTGACTCAATGGCCACATGCAATTTTTCAGTCTGAAAAAATGAGGTATAGTAGGCCCTAAGAGGTAGTAATGTGTTTTGATTGTACTACAATATATAGAAAATGTAAGATTCGGTTCATCAGAGTGGTAAGTCTCAGAGGTTGAAGAGTGACAAACACACAGCAATTATTTCTGTGTCATCCGCTGAATACCGTGGTTTTAAAAAATGCAAAAAAAACCCCCTCAGACCCCAAAAGGGACTTGCTAAGGCTTGATTTGATGCCCTTTGAAGGCAGCAAAATTCCTATTACTGCCTTCAAGTGACATTGGATTTGGCCTGTTAGAGCTACTGTATAGCTAGGATTATTTCTCTTTCACTTGATATTATCATGTCTAGTTAATAATATTCCAATCAGCTCTTTCCCAGCAATTTCCAGCACTGAACCCTGCACAGTCTTTCGTGGAGGTCCACATTTCTTGACACTGCCTCTTGGAAGAAGGCAGTAAATTGTTATCTCTAACTGCACTTGGCTCCATACGAAAGCCAGACCAACAGATGCCTTCCTGAGAAACTACCCCTGGCCCAGTTATTAATACAATGGTACAAAGTACTGACTAGGAAAGAGAGGAAGAAGGGAAACAAAACAGAAATAGAGAAAATTAAATTGGAGGTGGGGAGAGAGAGAGAGAGAGAGAGAGAGAGAAAGAAAGAACAACAAAAGTGAGAGAGGGGAGAATAAAAAAATCTCTACATAAGAAGCATTTAAAATAAATCTGGCTGAAACATATTACAAAATCACATTTGTGTAAAATACATGAAAATACTTGTCAAGTATTTTCTTACAATCTACTAATTTTTTTTTTTTAAAAACACATATTTGTGATTGCATTATGCAAAAGCTGAGCTTGTTGCTTCCCACCTACAAAGCTTCAAGTTTCTTTGAAGGTTTTTTTTGTTCATTTTTTTTTCTTTTAATACGAAAGTAATTTAAAATGTGTTCATTTTCCACAAGTTATTTTACAAAAATAATTTTGGATTAGGGATTAGTTGCAGTCCTAACTGTTTCAAACGTCTCAAAACTAATGCTGAAAGTAACAAGTTCATTCCATTTAAAGTCTGGAGGTAGGTCTTTGTCAATCAATTAGTCCATTTCTTTAAACAATTCATTTGAGGTACAAACTTGGACAGTAATATTTAAACTTTACAGCTAAATTTTTTCTGTCATGTAGTGTCCTTGAAGAAAATTATCCTCACAAATCTATCAGCAATTCAATACAAAAATATATTCAAGTTAACAGTACATTACACAGAAGTCTAGCAGAGAATAGAGTAAGTACATAAAATAAAACAAAACCAAAACCAAAAAACCCACACACAAAAAAAAAAAAAAGAAAAATCAAACAAACCAAGTGAAAGAAAAACATATAGTCATGCTGAAACACAAAAAAGACATTGCTTCCTTAACTGCAAAAAAGGTTGAAACAGAAAAAAAGGGAAAATGCAGATACTCATGATTATCTACCCAGTAAAAATTTCCTGCATTGAATGTGTATAGCAGCATGTATTTATCAGTCTGTTGAGTTATTTGTAAAAATCAGAGGTAGTATTGAATAGTGGGGTAATATTGCATCTGGTGCTAAAAGTGCTGCTTTGAGTGAAAAGATGGAGAAATGCCACTGGCACAGAGGTGCTCAGTGAACCATCCTATGTCAAAATACATTGCTTAAAGTAATGCATGAGCTTAGCTGAGGTACATGGTGTTCATTCTTACATTGTGACTGATGAGTAATGAGGAAAGATTCAATTCTTTCAAAATACTGGTACAGGGCAAGTGGAATTAGTAGAAACTAAGCAAAAATCTGGATTATTTTTGTTCAGATATATTTATGATTAATTTCTAGGTACCTTTCTGTATGATTTAAAACACTTTTATCAGTAAAGACTTACTCATTAATGGTGTAAGAGTGGTGTCAGTCATTTTTGTTCCCATAGAAAACTCCTGGCTCTAAGAAAGCCAACTCCCTGTCTTCCTATTAGCCAGGTGATAAGAACTGCTCATTTTGTTTACTACTGCTTGTGCTGATAAGATTGTATCTGTAACTATACAACGTATCTTTGTCTTTCTTCCCTTTTGTAAAATCAAAGTACCTTTTTCATCTTGATTTCTTTCTTCTGATTACCGGCTGAATGAAATGAAAAGATCAGCTTTCATTTTTTTTTCCCGAAATAATAGTAAGTCTTAAAAAAAAAAAAATAAAAAAAAATCAAGTACAAGTCTACAAGAAGGTTACAAAAGAAAAAGGATAGTATCTATCCCCTATCTTTGGTGTTCTAAAAGAGGGAGTTCACTAAGTAGGGAGTGGGTTGCTGGAAGTGTTGCAAGGCATAAGTGTTACACACCCAGCCTTTCCTATTTCAATGCCCATTATAATGACTATGTTACAAGTTTCTTGTTTATACGCAGTGCAGTCAATGACCTAAGCCTGATTTGGAGCTCTTCTTGACCCATTCACCCTTACTTAGCAGCTCAAACAAACTATTAGTAGGTTAGGAAAAAAGAAAACAGTAATTAAAAGTTGCATCGTTAATCTGTGTCCCCTTTGTGTTACAGCAGTTTTTCACTAGACCTGGGACTGTGAAGGGATTACAAAAGAAGATGATTAGTCGAATCCTTTTTAAGGTTATGTGATTTTTTTTTTTCCCCCAGGCAAAAGTGGAAAGACCATGGCAATAGAAAGTAAGTGGTCAAGGCAGTGTCTTCTCCCTTCAAAAGACCCAACTGCTGATGAGGTAGAAATTGCATGGTGTGATCTCCTAGTCTTCTTCTGCAGACTCTTGTGAGGACGTTTCTTCAGTCTCTTCCTAGAATACACAAATAGGAATAATAAATACCGTGGTGACCATTCATCTTAGGCTGCCAGTTCAGTTATCCCTCATGCAGCTGACAATTACCTCTTGAGTTAATAAAATGCCCTTTACAGCTCCTGTGATGTATCAAGAAGCCACCTTGGGGAGAAAGGGAAGGCACCCTGCTCTCTGATCCCCCACACCCTGCTTTGCCAGGTTTTTCTTCTACTCCAGGAGATGTCAAGAAAAAGCATTCTGTGCCACGCTTTGTCAAGGGCCTCTTATGGGGCAGCTAGAAAATGGAAAGCATTTTGAGCACATATCCAATTCTAAGTAGTTGCTCTGAGAAGTCTTCCCCTCTCCTACTGCTGCTTCATGTTTGCCATGTCAGCAAGCCTGACCAAATGTGATGCTCTTATTCTGCTTTTCAAACAAATGTTCAGTACCTTTCAGAACACGGGTAGAGAACTGGGGGCAACTAACATTTCTAATACAAGGGGCTGTCAATGAAAAGCTGTTTTTTAATCAAACACTGAACATCATTGCCTAAGACAGCACGTGAAAAAGATCTAGGAAGAAGAGGAATTCACTCCCTCAGCCAACTGAGACCTCTGAAGAATGACCATCTTAAAACAGCTTATAACAGTCTTCATACTTTAATAGATTTGATTTTCCACATGGCTTCATTTTGTCTGGGTGGCTAACTGACACAATTTATAACTCTCTTCCTTTCCCAGGCCACTACAGTACACCATTCAGCAAAGCTTGCCTTAAAGCTTGCCCGCCTTATACGACCAAACTTCCATTCATTAGTGTTTGAAACACCTCAGCTGTGAAGGGCTCCTAAATGCTACCATGTGTGACACTGCTGCGGAGGAGCGGCATCAAGGAAAAACACAGTGCTTTAATCACAGGCCACTGCTTACTGCAATCCCCTTTCAAAAGGTTTCGACCTCCCCCTGCACCTCCCTGCAAGAAAAGGCTGAAAAAAAAGCTGTAAATCCAGGGAATAAACATAACTATAAATGAACGGATGACAGCTTAAAAAATATAACCATAGCAGCATCAAGCCATGAGATTTCACACTGGTTTTGTTTAGTCTGCTTTGGGTTATGTGGGGAAAGTGAAAAGCATGAAGGAAATGCTCCCCCCCTCTTCCTTCATGGCCCCACCCCAGCTAAAGCTCGGGCCTCAGACATTTAGACCAGGAGGTTTATACCTCTTGACAAGGAAACAGGCCATGACCCTGGGGTACTCTCTTGAGCAACAGGCACAAAGAAAGATGTAGCATGATCAAAGCCGCAGATAGAGGAGAGAGAGCAAAATCAAGTGTCAGCTGCCCTCTGACCTTGCATTTTCAATTCTCAAATTCCAGATGACACTGAGCTATCATACAGATGAACAGTTTTTTCCTCACAACAACTACTGTCCACTTGTAGCTGGGTTATATTCACAGTGCTACACCAAAAATGATTCTCAACTCATGAGATGATCAAGCAAATTTTACTCTGTCTCTGGTGGCACTGGGGAAACTGAGCTCACACTCCATCAAATCCCATTAATGCATAATGCATTTTTCCTGCTTATCTTCTGTGCAGAACGGGACTGTTACAACATTTCAGTCAAGAAGAAAAATGGTATTTTCAGGCACCTACTGGAGGACTAATTTGGGCTGCATGTGGAGAGACACAGCAAAATATGTTGGTTTGAGCCTTGGTAATTCAGAAATCAGAATGCTTGTGGCAAGCCCCAGTTTTGCCTCCAAGCCAAGTATTTCAGTTAAAAAATTACGACTGTGGGTTCTGTGCTCTTAACATAATACAGGTAGACATGTTTTGGTATTTGATGATGATCACATGTTTAATTTCTTACAGCACTGTGGTCAGCCCTGAGCCTCTGATTATCATTTCCTGGAAGACTGCAGCACACACACACGTGTGGGTGTGGAGCGGCAGCTCTCTTTGTTTTATGCTTGGCTTGTCAGGAGACTACTGAAACCTGATGAACTCATTTTCCATGAAGGTAGACTTCCGATCACAGAGCAAGAGGATAGGGGAGAGGCAAAGTATGTGAAAGGACATACTTCAAAGCTCAGCCAGGGTGGCCACAAGAGAGCTCTTTTTAGTTAAAAAGTTGTCCACTCTAGTGATTTTTACTATGAATCTCACAGTATTTTTTTCTTTTTTTCCTAGTAACCCTTGCTGTAGCGACCAAGAAAATAAGTGAGAAGCTCTTCCTTCGTTCATTTATATATGTACATGTAATGAAGGAAGTTTCTCTCACCTGCCCGTGTATGTGCAAATATGTGTACCTGTAGTACTAGGAAGGATGAAAAACTAAAAATTAAGCTAACCCCGCAAATATGTAAATAATAAACTAATTATTAAAAAATATTTGAGACTGACAGACTTCAAATTCAAATCAGTGTTAGGAAATACATTTTTCATGAACAAAAGCTTTTCAAAGGAATCAGGTTGTTCATTCCTTCCAAAAGCTTAAGATAGCTCAGTCGCAGATGAGTGGTTTTAAGCCAACCTATCATGTAAATGTCTTGTCAAGACACTGATGGAGACATGATTGCTGCTCTGAAGCGCTTACAATTCTAAGAAAGAGGTACTACAAATCAGACATATGTGCAGAGAGGGACCCAAAGGAAGGAGTAGAGGTTCTGAAATGCAAAATACAGATGAATAATGCAGAAACAGAGAGGGATTTTTTGCACTTGTGAAAAACTGGTTGCAAATATCAGAAAGTTGTGCAGCTGGGACCCTCAACCCAACCTCTGTCTCTACGGCACCCGCCACCCAACCCCTCCCCCTTCCAAAAGATGGAGGGTGAAGCAGGAATTTTGAAAACTGTGTAACCTTTAGAAGTTGAAAACTGTTTCTGTGCTGAGTCACGTCAGCCAGAGATTCACTGAGGTGCATTGTTTGGCACTGTCAGGGCACTGGACACCTTAGGGGAAGGATGCTTCCAGGCACTTGCACTTCCTCACAGACCTGCCAAGGTCAATGGCATAGCCATGTGTCATCGTCCCTGAGTCCTTGAAGGAGGAACTGGGGCTGGAATGAAATACTTTGTAAGTCCAGATGTGCTTCCAATAAAGTTGAAGAGAAGGGAACAAATTAAGAGGGAAATCATGGTCATTAGAGCAGACATTAGAAACCCAAGTCACTCAAGAGTGTGATAGCCTTGCAGAGTATAAATTCAGCAACAACATCACAGGATGCACTCAGCCAAGAAACAAAAGTTTTGGGTCATATGGCAGCTTTAATTGAGGTTGTTCTCACTTCTTAGGTGCATTCACTTTAGTTGTGGAGGCAGAATGGTGACATATGCTAATTGGCCATAAATGTGCATCAACCCAGTTTTGCCTTGAATAGCTACTTCCCAGGTTGTTTGTTTTCTGCTGCAGCAAACTAGTGAGAGGTTGGGCCAGCAGACTGCATAGAGAAACCTGAGAAAACTTCAAACCAGGTTGGATCTGGCTAACAGGGAAGCCACAAGCATGAAGAGCTCAGGGAGAACAGGACAAATACTCAAAGAACAGGTTGAGTACTCATACGTATAGTTCAGGCTTTACTTCTGCTGCTAAGACAATATCCCAGGTGACTCCCCATGCATCCATGAGTACATCCCCTTACACGTATCCTCAGGGGCTGACTGGCACAGGGACCAGCTGCAGAGGCAATTTTACTTGGCACATGCTGTTCTTGGTCATCCATGGGTCCCACGTATGGCTATGTTTATCCTGAGCTGCCACAGGACAGCTGTATGATGTATGATGATACATGATACTGTATGACAAAGGCAGCGCACGGAGCCATTTCCACCCTTAGCTGCTGTAAATGCCCTGTCAGCTGCAGAGTGATATGGAGCTGGTGTCTCTCAGACACAGAGCTGCAAGGTGGCTTTCTCCAAAGCTCCTAAAGGAGCCTTTTCTTGAGGGGCATCACTGGCAAGGGGCTGGCAGATGTGGACACTAGCCTGGACCCTCATCTCTCACTGAAGCTGGCCTCTAGCAGGAGAGAAAGGACAAATACTTTGCAATGACTCACAGCAGGTATCTGCCCTCAAAAGGGGCAGGGGATTAGGATCACTGTTATTAGCCCTGATTTAACACTGGTGAAGGTAACAAAAAAGGATCAGGAGGCAGGACAGCAGGTTTCAGTTAGAAATGCTGTTGGCAGCCAGTGTGTTTATTTGGGTTAGCCAACAAGGAATTTTGAAATATGACAACCTTGGTGGGATCTGGTTGCCTGAAGATAGCTGAGGCTGTTTTAGATGCCCTGGATATCTCATCTGGTAAGATAAGCCAGAGAGGTGCTGGTCTCCTGTGCCATGCCCTCTTTCTGTGATCCCCTGGGACACCCAATAGGCACAGAACAACTATGTCAAGATGTGTGGACCCATGAACTATGAAGTTAAATCTCTGCTTTGGAAGTCTTGCTGCTGTGGAAAAACAAACTGATGCCAGACTCTTTTCAGTGGTGTTCAGTGACAGGACTCAGAGGAATGGCCATAAACTAAGCCACAATAAGTTTCACCTCAACATGAGGAAGAACTTTGTTTCACTGAGGGTGGCAGAGCACTAGAACAGGCTGCTCAGGGAAGTCATGGAGTCTCCCTCTCTGGAGACTTTAGAACCCCACCTGGACATGTTCCTGTGTCACCTGCTTTGCAGAGGAGTTGCACTGGATGATCTCCAGAGCTCCCTTCCAACACAGATGGTTCTATGAATCTGTGATTCATTGCTAAACCTCAGAGGTGGTACCATCCAGAATGGAGCTGTGCTACAAACAATTGTATTTAAATGTCAGTGTCCTTTCAGATCAAAGTCACCCTGTGATCCCAAGAGACTTCTTTCCCATGACTTTTCCCTTTTCCTGTGCAGGTGAAATGTAACTCTACCTGCTACCCAAGACCTCCATTTGGTGATCCACAATTGGTTGGTACAGGCTATTTTTTTCTGAAATTACAAGCAACCAGTAGAATCTTAGTGACCTGAAGAACAC